GGGACGTCAAATCAGAAGGGCCCCGCACACCCAGGGGCGCCAGCCGATGATGTGGGAAACCTCAGACCTTGGTCGTCATGTCCCGTTCGCGCGCCCAATTGTGACTCCCACACCACTGGTGAGCCTTCTGTCCAGTCGTTTACATAAACGTGTGACAGGCGCGCCTGCGCGCGCAGGCGAACGTGCTGTCAGGGCGCGGCTTTCAGTGAGCACTGGCAGCAACACCGCCCGGTACCAGTGCGGTTCGAGTGCCTGCAGGTTTGAGAGCCGGCAGCGGCAACAGGGTCCCACCGACCCAACCACGTGGGACTGTGACTACTAGTATCCCCCCCCCCCCGCCCGTCCTGGCGGACGCCACTCACTCGTTTTCCTCCCCCCTTCCCCTCGCGCAGTCGCCTCCTCGGCGTGTGGTAGTACTCCTTGGCGCTTCCCTCAGAACCATGCCCAGAAAATTGGAAGCGCAGTGGCGCAGATGGGCGCAGGCCACCTCCCGGTGGTCCAGTTGGCATCCGACGCGGCAACCGCGCTCTACTTTCGGGCCCCCTGTCCCAGATGGCATCCCCAATATGGCCAACCCCCCGCTCTCCGGAACACATCCATTGCGCCTTTCTCAAAGGCACCCTCGCGAAGCGAGCAGTCGACCAACCCCACTCGCTGGACGCCACCCGTCGCGCCACGCACTCCCAAGGGCACCGGCCAGCCAAGCTCGGTCTCCGTTGCTCATCGACGCCCGACTTCAGCTTGGTGTTCCGCTGGTGCAAGTGTACATCCTTTCCGCGGGCGAACACGACATGGGCCGGCGATACGCAAAGCTAGTGAGTGCCCGGCGACGGCTCCCTGTCCGCCAGCAATTCGCGGCGCCGTGGGATGTCTCCCGTTTGAAAGATGTCAGGGCTGCGGTGGGGTGCGACGGTGCGGGCCCACAACAGGGCGCCAGCAACTGTCGCGGGGGGCTCCGCTGCGGGCGCCAGCAACGCCTGTGAGGGGGACAGAAAGGGGTTTGGGGCGTCCAGTCCGTCTGGGAGCCAGCGCGGAGGGGGGCGGCAATGTGGCGCTTATAAGTAGCGCGTGTCGGCGCGAGTTTTCAGTTCAGTGGTCCGATACCGGAGCGGTTCGAATGCCGCGAGTGCAACGAGCAGCGCCGTCCAGCCGACTGTTCACCGAAGCGAAGATGCGTTCGACTTTCGCAGCTGGGGGCCCGCCGACGCGCCTGGGGGGTCGCGGCGGGGAGGGACGGTGCGGGATGGATTTGGGCCGGCCGGCGGGCCTGCGGCCGCCCATGTGGTGAGCGATGTGCCGAAAGCATGGCCGAATCGCGGTGCTCGAGCGGATCTTTCCCAACGGCAGATCCCGTTGAGGTGGTGCAGGCGCGTGGCGGTGGGCTTGGGCGCCCGCGTGGGGTTCTGGGGAGTCCTGGACCTGCTCGCGCCAATTGGCCCTTGCAGGGGCCGCCGCTGCTGTAGAACTCCTTGACAAGGCGGGCATCAGGCCGCATCGCGCCTCCGCCTCGCTGCTGCCTCGCGCCCGCCGCGCTGGCCGTTTTGGGCCCGTCGTTTGTTTGAACGCAGCGGCAGGATTAGAGCTGCGGCGAGTGGTGGCGGGGCTGGGCTCGGCTGTGCACCCCGACAGTCCCTGGGGAGGGTGGCACAATGGACAGCCTTGCCCGTCGCGGATCTCGACATCCCCTCTCTTCGCGCGGCGCTCGACTTTGGACTCCCCACCCCCGAGCGGCCGCCGCTGCGATCGCGCCCGGCGCCGTCGGCCACCAACACCGCCTCTGCCCCTCCCTCGGCTTTCGGAACTGAGACGGGTAGCTGTGCAGAGTGATGGAAATGCCTCAGCCATGAGTCACCCCGAGGGAGCAGGACGGGGCCGGGCCTGATGGCTCCCTGTACAGCGCCCAGGCCCCACTGGCCAGCGTCAACATCCCAAAATCGATCGAAATCTATCAGAAAGTATTACACGTCCGTGCGAGGAGGTCCTCTTCCACGTAATAGCCCTTTCTGGTGTGATGATTGATCGACTGGTTGGGTTCCTTCGGGCCGGTGGCAAGTTGGCAGGTGCCATTCTGGCAACCGTATCGGAACGTGTCATAAGGGCAGGGTAGTGCTGCCACGTCATTTTGCCATACGGTCTGACTGGACTGGGGCCACTCGGATAGAAACCCACCCTCCGGAGCGCGAGCGACTCGGTGGGAGCGAGACAGCTGCGCCGCGCAGGGCAAGGAGCCACACTTCACTTGGATAGGCTTGGCGTGGCATACTGGCCATTTGTGCAGCTTGGAATCGATGCCTGGATGGTCGACCCGCACGACTGGGCGGAATCCCCCCCCCCCCCCCTCGCTGTTGTATTGTGTGGGCGCGGGCGACTTGAGTGCCACACTCACGCGAGGACGCACCGGGCTTTAGCGCAAAGTTCCCAGCCAACAATGTGTTGTATTCACCGGTCACTGTGCCAGCCGCTGTTGCACTGCGCGGCGCTGAAATGCTTTAGTTCTTGAAGGGTGATGGGACTGGCTATCCTCAGCGCGAGAGATCGCAAAAGGTGGTGGTCCAGCCGGGGCCTTGAATCCGTGTTCTTAGTTTTCAACTACACCGTGTCAACTTTGAGGTTCGATCGCGCGACTCGATAATGTTGGCTTCTCAAGAGACACCAGGCTGGAGGTTGTTGGGCCTCCCGCGGTGACGTTTTGCACCTGGCAAGCGAGCGTGCCAGGAGACCAAATAGCATTCTGGTGCAATTGCACAACTCTTGGGGTCCATGGCCTGGGCCCCTTCCCCCTTTTGGCGTTCATTTGACGCCAAGCGCACCAAAATCAAATGACCTCTTGCCTTCAAGGACCGCACAGTTGGCTGTGGCTCACAAGCCGGCCTAAAAGTTGTTGGAACGGCCCTCCCCCACTTTAGTTCGACCCCTGGAGATGTCGGGGGGGGGGAGGATCGAATTAAGGAGGGCGGGACCGTTCCAACAACTTTGTAGGCCGAGACAAAAGCGGCCGATGACGTAAAGCCGTGCAGCGCGCCACGCCCCCGCGGCCCCCCCCAGCGCGCAGGCAGACCCGCGAGCGCCGAGTGGATTATCCTCAGACAAAATGCACTCGCTGGCGCCGCCGCCCACCGCAAGCCGCTGCAAGGGGCGTTGCGCGTGACCCGTGCGACCGTACGGTGGCCAGCCAGCGCGCACCATATCTGAGAGAATCGAACGCGGGGGAAGGGTTGGCGCACTGCCGGCAATGATCCCACAAACGCCCCCCTCTGCTGACCTGTTAATGCCCTCAAGTAATCCCCCCAGGGCGGAAGCCTTACGATCCAGGGTTGACCGCCGTGCATCACCTAAAAGGCACTCCCATTCAGGCCGTCCCGTCTCCCAAGGTTGCAAGGGCCGCCCCCAAGGAAGAGGAGGACGGGCTGCGGCCGCGCGGGCCGCCAGGCGGAAAAACATGGCGGTGGGTCCCCCGCGCTGCTTTGCGCGCTTCCCCAACCGCAGCATCGCCCTGGGGTGCTGAATCGGGTGTCCGCTCTGAGCGCGTGAGCCCTCCTGGCTGACGGGCCTCGCGCTCAGGTAACCGCGCAGATTCGCTTGGGCGCAGGGCAGGGCCCGCATGCGCCGTCATTGCCGTCAAGCGGTTCCCAGCTGCGCTTTGGCACGCCGGTTTGGCCGCCATCCGGGCTCAATCGCCACCGCGTGCTCGAAACCTGGCGGTGACCCAATGGGCGCCAGGGGTGTAGATCGCGAGCACGACCGGCCGTGCCCTCCCCCCCCCGGGGCTGGATTTTGCGCTGGACTCCTCACCGCGCAGCGCACCCCTCTGATGAGCCGCGCAGAGAGCGTGGCCACCACTTCAATCCGCGGCTGGCATGCTTATTTCGCGCTGCCCGCGGTGGGCAAGGATCAGACTCTCTGGCGGCTCGGGCGGCTCCAGGGCCGAGCTCCGCCCTTGCCGGGGCCCATGCCTGGGCGCAATGCGACGTGGACAGCACGCGGGGGGCGCGGTCTGGATGGCCGGCGCATTTTGCGCGAGCGCCGCAATCGAGCTGCCCGTGGACGGTCGATTATGGACGGCCAGCGCGGTGGAACCGCTCGTTGCCGGCGCCCATTCCCCGAACCTCTGCGTCTCTTAATCCCCCTCGCTTGAGTTGCTTGCAAGCTTGGGCGCGAATTGGAATGATTAACACTGCGTCACGGGGCGCGCCGTCCCCGCGCACCCTGCAGGAACTCTCTGCGCTGAGACGTGCTGCTCTGTCGTAGACGGGCTTTTTATTCTGCCCTGCTGCGCCCGATCTGTGGCTCGTATCCCCCCAAGCGCCGTCGCCGCCCGTTTCCGCGCGCCGCCCTCGTTTATCTCTCTCCGCATGACCCCCTGGCCGGGCCGCCGGGCCATCAGTCCAGAATAGACGCCCGCGGCCATGGGCCCAAAAGGGGGGGTGGGGGGGTACCCTCTGAGCTGCGTCCAATCCCTACCCGGCCCCCCCCCCCCATTGACCGACTCGGCGTTCGCGGGCCGGGATACGCAATATACACCGGGTCTACTACCCCCGATTCGGCGCCGGGGTTTTCCTGCCGGAATTCGTTTGATGGAGCGGCCCAGGGTCCACATGCCCGCCCCCACGTCCTTACACACACCCTCCCCTCTTGGGTCTGTGTTTGCCTCCCGGGTTGGCTTCCTACCTTTCCCCGCGTCTTGCCTCAAGGCACCTTGACGTCCACGGGGCCCTCGGATGCGCCATGTGGGCCCCTGCCACCGGGCACCTCGGCCTGTCGCTTCCGCGGGGACGCCACGCGCGCTTTGTGGTCAATGGCGTCGGAGGTGCGCCCAATGCGGCGTTTTCTGACTTGGTGGTTTTCGCGCCCCTCCCCGCAGGCGCAGCACGGTTAGCGGTCCTGAGGGCGTGCCGACCTTTCAGCCTCTCGACGGGAGACGACCGCCGCTCTCGGGCGGCGCTGAAGAAGGCGATCCCCTGAGGGCGATCCCCGCGCGTCACGCGCCCAAATCGGCAGAGATGGGCCACGTGGTGAACAACCGCGGCGTGGCGCACCACGGGCAGTTCGCGTCGCAGGACAGCGACGACGGCTACGCGCCCACGCCGACCGCCCACGCGCAGGGCGTGGCCCTCCAGGACTGGGCGCCCAGCAGCAAGAAGCTGGGCGGATCTGGCCGCCGCAGCTCGCTGCGCAGCCTCAACGTGTCCAGGGAGGCCGGCTCGCCGAGGACGCCCACCTTCACGGGGTCCGCGCCCGGGCACCCGGAATCAAGCGTTCTGCCTTCGTGGCAGTCCAAGGTGGGGCACGGAGGCAGCCCGGGGCCATCCAGGCCCTCCAGGCACGCCAGCCTGCCCGCCAACTATCAGGATCAGTGCAACGGTGAATCAGCGGATGGCTACGGCCAGGCGCCCAACGGGTACAATGTTGAAGACCAGTGGTCGAGCGATGACGATGAGCCTGGCACGGGCAGGGAGTCCAGGGGCGGCAATCGCACGCCCACCCACAGGCTGCACTCCTCCAGGAGCGCCAAGCACGACAGGGGCGCTGCGCGATCGCCCCTGAGGCAAACGAGGTCTGGCGGAGCCCGGTCCAGCAGCAGGGGATCTGAGCTGGACACTGGGCACAGCGACCGCCACAGGGGTGTGGACAGGCTGAATTATGACAGCAAGGTGATGAGCAGGAGGCACCTGAACTACGACAGCAAGGCGATGGGGGGGGAGGGGGATGGTGGCAGGGCGGACCGGATGTCGCCGGAGTACGGGCGGCAGGCTGGGCATGGGGATGACGCGCCCAGGTCTCACAGGGAGAGGGGCGTGAGCAGGTCCAACAGCGGGCGCAACATCAGCAGCCAGCAGCGGGCCCGGTCCAGGACGCCTCCCAGGTCACCCCACTCCCGCGCCACTCCTAGCATGTTCGACACCGGGCCCTCTGGGATGGGTGGGGTAGACAGTGAGGGGAGACGCCTGGATGACATCCACCTCAGCGCCCCAGGCTTCCTGATGGCCAGCAGGACCAGCCTCTACGACACGAAGGACAGCATCTTTGGGTATGTGGCACAGAACACGCCTGGAGCGCATGCCGCACAGTGATCATTATGTTTTAGTCGTTCCGCTGCGCCCTGAGGACTGGACGTCCCCGTATTGGTTCAGTTGAGATAGTCTTGGATATTTTGGTTAAAAGTGAACGCCCAATGTGCGAACCGCTCCTTATTGTTACTTCTATTGGTATGTGTTGTCATTGTTGTTGGCAGCCTTGGCAGGGCTTTTCTTGGCTTGTGATGGAGAGGTGACTCACACGGGCATTCATTGGTTGCTGCGGCTCTGCTGATGTGCTCGTCCCAGCACAGGGGCACAGGTCCTCCCTGCAACTGCCTCCATTGCCTGGGGTCACAGACTCCCCCCTGATTTTAAGCAGCCTTGTTGACCCATGCCCACTTGGTGTGCGCAGGTCCATGTACGACATCGTCATTCCACCCTCACCCCTGGATGTGCAGGATGCACAATTCGCTGCACAGGAGGAAGAACAAGAACCTGTAAACAACAGGTTCAGCTGCATGCCTGGTCTTTCACCAGCGGCTAAGAAGTCTTCTGGAAAGACCAAAAAGAACCCACTGAAGTGGTTTGTGTGCGGGTTGTCCCATGCTCCCAATGAATTGCCAGCGTCCAATTCGGCGGACAGGCTGCAGACTGGTAGGTGTTCGCTGTCGCTTGTATTTCTTCCCTAATTTTAAGCACGAACAAACGCAATGGGTCGTCTTTTGGTGAAATTTTCGGCAGTCGAACGCCACCTGGGCTGCTATCGGCATGAGCGCAGGAACCCCTCCATACGAATGTCTAATTCCTGCTGGGAAGCATCAGCGCACGTGTTATCTTTTGTTTCCATTCTTTTTGGCGCAGAATGTCTGGGCAGTGATGAGCCAGGTTATTCGTGAAAAAGTGTCTATGCCTAGCAGCTCAGTGGGAAAAACCATCTGAAATGGGAGAGCTTAGCGTTGGCGCTGCTGTCTGATTGATGACCGTCATCTCTTTTACCTTGCCAGGTGCGACCCCAGAGGTGAACCAGGCCACAAGCATGCGCGAAAGGGAGCTGTACAAACGGCGTCACGCCGTGCTTCGTAACAGAATGGAGGCTGTGTTGGGCGAGCAGAAGAAGCGTAAGTCCTTTGGCTTGACAAGGGGCAAGAGCGACGACCACGCCACCAGGGCGCGCCAGGCAGTGCAGGGGGACCTTGACACAGCCTTCAGCGTTGCCCCGGGCAGCCCGTACAGCGCCAGCGGCACAGGGAGAATGGTGTCGATCCAGCGTGGCCAGCAAGGCGGTGCGAGGAGGCCTTGAGTTTGGAGATCATCGCGGGGACTGGGCCAGTGGAGCGCTGCTGTCTGGCACTGGGCCTGCTGGGGATTGATTTGGTTGGTGTGTACCGCTCACGGCCGGTTTGGATTGGTTTTGGCATCGGTTGCTGTTGCTGTTGACGGTAGTTTGTGGGCTGCAACGGGGTGTTGTTGTGTGGTGGATGACCGCCATTGTTGGCTTTGTGTTCACGATCCTCGTGCAATTGGGAATGTTTGAGAACTCAACTGGCTCTCTTGTGTAAGTTTTCGCTGAGCTGTGAAGCCGCTGGTGGAGGAGCTGCGCTGCTTTGGCGGGCTGGAAGTGGGGCGGCCGCAGTGGCGCGTTGGCTCGTTTTTTTCTCGAGTTTAATTCTTTTTAATCAGCTTGGGATATTATTTTTTTGCTGGGAGGCTGTTCGAGTGGCTTAACTGACGAGACCCCACGCGAATAACGAAATTCAGACAGGGAGGGAGACTGGCCAAAGGTTGACGTACACAGGACGCTTTTGGGTCACATTTTGTTCATCGAACTTGACGGCGATTTTGTGCACCAAAACTTCAGTGATTTTGTGCATGTCGCTCCTTGGGAGACGGGACTGTGCTTGGGCGGGTGATCGGCGCTCATCAGCAGGGGCAGAATTTGAGGCAAATCGAGCACAGCTTGGATGTGTGCGTTGATTGCACGTAGCCGCATTCAGGGATGCAGCGCACATCTCTGTGCCGTCCCTGGATAGCCGTGCTGACGGGCGCGTCAGGTCAGCTGTGGGAATCGGTACAATAAGTTTTGTCGGGCGACGGGCACCGGATGGACCTGAGGCCGGCCCTTTGGGGCCTGGATGTTCTGAGTTGAGTCGAACGGGGGGCACCGGGACAGCACTGCCCACAGGGTTCGTTGGCAGGGTGGTCGTTCATGTTTCGAGGCGGCATCGCATCAGCTATTTGTCGATGATGTATGTACTTTACTTCCAGCAGTGCTTCGGCGGAGTTGGGTTCGCCACCTTAGTGGATGGGTGCACGCCCGTTCGGCCGCGACCTGGGCTGTGGCAGGCGGGGGTGCTGCGGAGCTCTCGCAGGCTGAGACGAGTTGCTTGCTGTGAGGTAGGGGGGAAATCACCAATGGCCGCGTGAGACGTCGACATGCTGGGTGGACACCATGTGTAAATATTACCCAACTGTGAAAATATTGCCTTGCACTGACCTTACGAGTGCCCATTGCTTGTCAAACCGTTGTTGATGTGGCTTCATAGGCCACTTAACGGCCAGCTGTTGCCCACAGTGGCGGTGGTGGCTGTGCTGGTGGGAGTGGAAACGAGCATGGGACCAAGTCGGACGCCAGTGTCGACGACAGCGCGCCTTCCCATTACCCACTGTACAGCTGACGCCACACCACCACGAAGAACGAACGCATGCGCACGGTCCGCTGCCCGGACCAGCACTTCGTGGCACAACGGGTGCAGACCTGAAGTCCCGTTGTTGAGCTCGCATCTGTAGCCACGCACCCCACCCAATTCATTCACAAAGCCCATCACCCATGGACCGGGTGCCCGTGAATCGGCTGCAGCCCCGCATCACAATCGTCCCAGTCGTCGACGTCCAACTCGTCCGCCCCTGGATTGCCCATCCTGTTGGCCTCCTCCGGCGTGAGCTCCAATGCAGCGCCCTGCACCAGTGCATCCAGCACACTGCCACGTCCTCCAACGACGGCCACAGGGAAGACGTCCTCGCCTTGGTGGTGCAGCCACGCCATGCAAGCGGCCACCAGCTCCACGCCGCGTGCCTCTGCCACCTCTCCGATCCTGCCAGATATGGCCAGAGCCGTCGCTGCGTGCAGGCCCCCAAGCAAATCAGGTTGCCCCATTCCAGCCTCCGCCTCGGTGCCATCTTCGCTGGATGGGGTGCCATCAAGCCCCAGCGCCTTCTTGGCAACGCGCCCCACTCGGCTGTTCCTCCTCTCGACCACCGACTCCACCTCGGCAAGGACGGCCACGGCTTGCCTCTGCATGATGCGATGCACCACCACTTTCATCCGCTGGGTTCTGACACCCTTGCTGGCCAGGGCGTGCAACTTGACTGCCAGCGCCTCGCTCTGCTGGTTCAGCCGCTTCCTGACGCACAACGGCACAGAAGCTGGCGCCCTGGCCAGGAGAACACCAATCTTCTTCCCCACCTGGCAACTCCGCCTGTGCAGGATCGACTCTATTTTCACAGCAGCCACGGCACGGCGCCTCTCCTGTGTCTTCTGGACCTTGACGGCCATCCTCTGGCCCTGCCTGTCCTGTTTCTGCAGCACCTTTGCTATGAGGCGGCAGCTCTGATTGCTGAGTACCTTGTCAGCCTTCTTGGCCACCAGAGACGCCTGCCCAAGCTGCTCCCCGAGGCTGGCCAGCAACCTGTCCGCCTGGTTCCTGCGAATGCGGGTCAGTCGCATGACGAGCACGTGCTGCTGGTGCTTCTGCACCTTTTGCACCCTGTCCAGAAACTCACGGTCGGGCAGCCCAGAGAGACTCTCCACCCGCTTGCCAAACACCTCCAGCTGCCGGTCCAACAGGGCGCTGACACGCCCTGAGGCATGCTGCGTCTGCTTTGCAGCAAGGTCCTGCACTTGGGCAGTCAAATGGCTGTCCTGGTCAGATAAAAGCAGCCTGAACTTCACGACAAGCCCCTGGGCCTGTCTGTCCAAGATGGCCGCCACCATCTTTGACATGTTGTCCCCCTGGATGCTGGCCTTTCTCTTCACCTGCTTTTCCAGGACGGCTGCAGATTGGTCCCAGATTGCCTGCAGCCTCTTCAAAACTTTGGGGTGGGAGTCATCCAGAATTTGTTTCACCTTCTCACTGGCACAAGACAGCAGAGGGTATCCATCAGCAAATGTCATCAGTTGGGGCAAATTCTGGCGTGTGTGCAGTGCAGTGCCGCTCCATGCTGCTCATGTTGCGTGCAATGCAGAGCGCCTGACATGGGTGGTGAGCAGGGTTCGCCGCACAGCAAGCAGCAACTTGGCGCCCACACACCCAGAATGGGAGGGCCTGGATAATCGACAGTGGATCGCGTCCCAGACAGGGAAACCTGCAGGACTGCATCTTCATATGCATCCTGCCAAGGCAATTGGCAGCCCCATCCAGGGGCATCAAATGCATGTTGTCTTGCTGTCCCCCAAGAGACTGTTTTTGTCTGGGGTGTTGATGTACCATGGTGGTGGCCCACTGCAATCTGGATTTGATGTGAGCCTCTCAAGTGTCAAGCAACAAGCTCCCGATTGAATCCATCCTGAAGGCAGCGGGCCACACAGTCAGATTGCTATGGCATATGTCTGCTCAACTCAGATATTCACACAGTGTCAATCTTTCCAGAGATCCACAAGGACCAAGCAATGCTGACAAAGCCCTAAGCTCATCAAGCTCCGTGGGGTCCCAAGCCCCGTCACTCCTACTCCTACCCACCCACAAGGCACTTGGCTCACCCACCCCAGGCTCCCAGGCTGCCTCCTTACTCATGAGCACACACCTGATGACAGCGGCCTCCAGTAGGTGTGCGTTCCGAACACCTCCTCCCGCCGCCTTGGTTGCCAAAATACCAACACCTAACTCTCGGCAGACAGTCAGTATGCCGTTCCTTGAACTCTTTGGGTTCCATGCGGACCACTGGAGCGATACAGCAGAGATGGGTTGAACCGAGTTCGCCCTCTGGATCGTATCTGCGTCCACGCCAGCGATGCCTACGGCCCTGACCTTGCCTTCGTCGATGAGAGCCTAGACATCGGGTGGGAGGATCAGACTGGAATTGCCATCCACTGCTGGAACCCCTTCATAGCATCACAGGCGTCTGGGAACGCTTTGCCGGCGCCCACAAGTGTAGACACAGGTGATGCGCAAACTGAGGGACAGGTCCTGCGTACCCTTGCCGAATCAGAGGCCGCCCAGCGGGCAGCTATTCAGCTGCAGCTGAAAGCGACACGCCAGGTCCCATAAATGACATCCCAACCCCGCAATCTGCCTGGACGCCTTTCCACAATGACAGTTGGCACAAAAGTTCCCGAACGCGAGAGGAGTGGCACACTCCAGTCAAGAGCACCTTGCAACATGGGAGCACAAGACCGGCTCCACAAGTGTCAGTGCCGTCCGACGTCACAGTTGAGTCGAGTTGAGTTGGATTGAATCGAGTTGAGTCGAACTGAGGTGAGTTGAGGTGGGCGCTCGGCAACTCGCCTTCAACGCCTCCGCAGTGGCCTCTACAGGCGTCTCTGGATCTGGCACCTCCTGATAAAACAGGTCGATGCATCCTCCCTCGAGTCCCAGCCGTTGCAGGCCCGCCTCGCAGGCCAGACGGACGCTGGCTGCGTTGGAGTCCGGCACCGCGTGGCCATCCTCATTGCGGGTCCCAAATCTCAATGCCAGCACCAAATCTTCCCTCCAGCCGCGGATGACTTCAGCTGGGGGGTTCCACAAAGGGGCGGGTTGGGACGCGAGGGGGGAGGGAGGAAATAATCTACAGGTGGGATCGGGAGGCTCCCGCACTTAAGCACAGGGGGTCGGGGAAGCAATGGGCACGCGCGGGGGGGGTGGGTCTGGCACGATGACGCTGGGCGTGAACCGCGTTGCCCGTCGCTTGAAGTGCGATTGGGGAACGAGATCGCGGAGTCCGCCGTGGGGGCGAGAGAGAATGCGCGGGGAGAAGGAGGGGGGGGGGGGCTCCGGGCCGAAGGGAACGAGGGGCCTTGGGCGGATGCCAGCGGACAGCGCGGCACCGAACGGGAACAGATTTCTCGAAAACGGTGATCGAACACTCGGGTGACACCCGTCCAAACCAACCCGCCATTCCAAGGCGTCATTCTGTCCGCAGTGGGCACCTCCGGCGAGGCCCTGTAGGCGCCTTCGTGTTCGAAATCTAAAAGCAGACCCAAAAAAATAAACGCTGCGCGACGCCAACGCTCGCCAGAAGATCCCCCCACCGGCCCCCTCGATGCCCAGGACATCCGTCACGTCGACGAAGCTCATCCCCTTCGCCAGGGCCAGCTGCAGGAGGTGCGCGACGTTGCGGGCGCCCTGCCCCCGGCGTCCCAGGCGGGCGGACAGGCGCAACATCTGCGGGGGGGCGGCCAGCCCGCTGGCGCCCAGCGGACGGGTGGCGCTCATGGCCATGGCTTCAGGGGCCCTCCGCCGCTGTGAAAAGGCGGAGTGGGCCAGTGCGCTGACGGTTGGGCCAACGCGCAAGGTGCATGGGGGTGGGCCCCCCCTAGGAGCGTGGGGCCAGGGGGGGTGTCAGTCAAGGGACAGTCGCACCATCCTCGAAAATTGGGAAAAAAACGAGAATGATGTTCGAAGATGAACGCAAATGGAAGACGTTTGGATGGGCACTGTCACATCAGCAACAGATGACGACCATTTAATGCATTTGCAGCTGTAGGACTCCGCGCGCTCGACCGCAAAGCCAGCGTGAGCGGTTTTCCAGTACTCCCGTGCAGTTGGCTGCGTTTGAGGCCGAGAGAAAAACAACAATACACTTCCCACTGTACACGCAATCGGACAGGTGGTGCTAAGTGAGGTCCCACAAGCGTATCTGCGCCATCGGTTATATAGATAGCAGCACCTTCTAAAATTAGGTGTTATGGCTCTTCCATACATTTTAAATAGTCATACACACACAACGGATTATGCCAAACTGTCGGCCTCCCTTCGGGCCCCCGCCGTCGCGAGGGGACCCCCGATGCGCGTGGTGGTTAGCTGCTCGATGCTCCTCCTCCGCTGGGTCCCAATGGTCGGACTGCGCGTGCTGAGCATGGCGCTCGTGGCGGTATGCTCGGGAATAGGCGAGCTTGCGGGCTTCACCGGCCAGGTCGGCCAAGGTCGCGCCGTCGGGTCACGAGAGCAGTTTGCTTGCACAAGAAAGGATCATTACTACACCGCACTCACCATATAAGTACGATGACCAACTCACGGGTCACCGGTGCGGAAACAATCCGTGTCATGGCACCCACACCGATGCCCTAATGTATTGTTATTGCACCCATACACTTCATATTCCGATAATAAATGTCTTGAGCACCGTTTATAATCTGATAATCACTCCCCCTCTAAGTATTTTCATCCCGAAAATCAAATCATGAACCACTACTTGATCCACCCGTGTCCTCTATTGGCTGGTCCCTCTCAATCATCATTGGTGTTGTGGTGTGGTTTCCGGCCGGGACGAACGCCCCTCGCTGTCGCCCAATCGGCGCGGATCCCGCGGCTTCAAGCCGGGTATCCCACGGCCTCACGCCGGAATTGGCGTGGTCGATCGGGGCGCTCGCTCCTCCGGTCTCGCGTGGTGGGCCCTGGTCGCTGAACCGATGGCCTGGGTGCTGCTAGGGACGGATGGACCGGCGGCACGGTGTGCACTCGCGCGCAGTGGTCAGACGCACAAGGAAAGAGGTGCAAAACGGGTTTCAGGGTCCCGTGGACTGCGCAGGACTCAAAACACACTGCGCAGGCTGACTCACCCTACATTGGGTGAGCCAGGACACCATACAATAATGTATTGTCATTGTAACGTACGGACCGTCCACCAGTGTACCCAACAAACCAACAATCCCATTGTTTTTCCCAACAGATGACCAGCCATATCCAAAATTGTGACCTCAAGGTCCATCGTTGTAACTCCCCCATACACGCACACAACAATACTCCCTCCTGGGGGAGTTTTCGCCCTCGATAACACTAGTCCCCATAAACCAATGTACCTCTGCCTCTTAGAGGTGGCCACCCGGAACCGTTAATAGCGGACAGAGGTTAATTTCCGTTAATTTTCCGTTAATTAACGGAAAATAACGAAAAAAGACAAAAATTAACCAAAAATTAACGGATTTTTGGATTTTTTTGGGTTTTTTTGGGTTTTATTCATACCTATAGTGTATGGAATTCGCTATTAGAGAGTATGTTTGTATTTTACTTCAACCTATGCATACTAGATTTTCAACTAGCCGCAGTTGTTGTGATTTTTTGGGTTTTTTTTCGATTTTTTTTGGATTTTTTTCGTTTTTTCTGATTTTTTCTCCCTTTTTCTTTAACGGAATTTAACGGACAGCTGATAAAAATTAACGAACCGGATTTAACGGACCGGATGGCATCTTTGAGTGGCCACCTCTACTGCCTCTACCCATTGTAGACCTATGTCTGATCTTCAACAGGCTTGTCACGGGCTATCATCTTTTTCAACTCTTCGGGATAGTCGAAGTTGGACTCAGGTACCCAATAAGCGTCATCAATAGACCAGCCTGTCCAAAGTACCAGAAACTCCTTGACCTTCTTGTGACTGGGTCCTCTCCAGCGCCACCTCAGAAGCTTCTTGACATCATAGGGCTCATCGTCCTCAGGCTCAATCTCCTCTGTACCAGCAGCTGCACTCGACTGTGTCCATCCGGAGATCCTGAATGGCCGTAGCAAGCTCGTATAAAAGACTCGGTGAATCCTCCAAGCCTCTGGTAGGTCAAGTTCATAGGCCACCTTCCCATTTCTGCGCAAGACGAAGAATGGGCCTATGAATCTTTTCCTGAGCTTGCGAACAGGTGCGTTTTTGAGTGAAAGATGCTCTGTACTGAATAGCACCTGGTCCCCCTGATGATAGAGGTGGCCACCCGGATCCGTTAATAGCAAACGGGGGTTACCATCCATTAATATCCGTTAATTTAGCGGACCCCGCTTCTCTGTTGCTGACGTGGTACGGATGGCAGCGGACGGCTAGCCCCAATTAGCGGACTTTGCGGATTCCACTTGGGTGTTAATGGATATTCTCTTACGGACTGGAAGCCACCAACCCCATCCGCTAATTTAGCGGATGACAGTGGACGTGTGTACCAAATCAGCGGATGACAGCAGAGCCCATGCAGTAAGTACTGATTTCCGAATCTGGGGATCTGGTTGATTGCCAGCGTGGCTCAGCCAGTGTCCACATACAACGGACCTTGGCTGTGACTGCACACATATTTTGTTGCCCTCCTGTTGCCATCCGCCGTCTCTAACCCCTGCCACCCCACGCTTGGTTCATGGACCCACTAGGTGAGGTATACCGCGCTCTCCTGCTTCAAGCCGCAGCATGGGCAAGGCAAGGGAATGCCCTTAGTACCGCCTGCAGTGGCAGGAAATGCCGGGCCGCGCGGGGGAAGGGGGGTCTCGGATAATTTGTTGGCTGAAAACCTATGTGTGGCCGGATTCAATCCGCCGGTGATGCAGAGGCATAGCGCGCTATCTTGTTTTGTGGCCAGGGCAATGCCCTCAGTACCGCCTGCTGTGGCGGGAAATTCCGGGCCGTGGGGAGTGTTGGGGGGGGGTCCTCGGATGATATGTTGGCCGAAAACCTATGTGTGGCCGGATTCAATCCGCCGGTGATGCACAGGCATAGCTCGCTATCCTGCTTTGTGGCCAGGGCAATACCCTCA